TCTATAGCTTACTTAGCAAATCCGGTGCTAACCCATATCACCCTTCCCCTAGGTCACAACCTAAAACTAAGTCACACCCTAATCCTAGTTCATAACCTAACCCTGACCCAAACCCTAGGTCACACGCTAACCCTTACCCTAACCCTGATCCTTACCGTAGGTCACACACAAATCCATCTCACCCTAATAATTTGACCTCGTAAATTGTTTATAACCTATCCCCCCCCTCCCCCCTACTCCCCCGCTTCATAGGGGTATCGGAACATTGGGTAAATAATTCTACAATCCTATTAACATATTCCTTTGATCCTATGGACAATTGTTTATACTTAGTATGAAGAGCCAAAACTCCAAAGTGATGATTTCTTGTTCACATAAACATTGACGCATCGGTGCTCATCAACTGAAGACAGCCCTGGAGAGCCAGTGTTGGAAATTTCACATTCCTATGGCGGGGTGCGGAGCAAGGGGGGGGGGGGGGGCGAGTCTATCCACAGGGCAATCATCTTTGACTTCCCACACAAAATGAATCGCCATGCTTCTGTACTCCAGCGGCAGTGCCTCATGCCAATCATCCCTACTCATAGCCAGCCTTGGCTGCGGGTAAGAAGTGACGAGCCAGTAACGGGGTCACGTGTCTCGATCGTGTGAGCGTTGCGCGTGAGATGAAAGCGTGTGCACGTGAAGCGTGTGCACGTGACGCGTGTGCACGTGAAGCGTGTGCACGTGAAGAGTGTGCACGTGAAGCGTGTGCACGTGACGCGTGTGCTCGCGACGCGTTGGCACGTGACGCGTGTGCACGTGACGCGTGTGCACGTGACGCGTGTGCACGTGACGCGCGAGAAGGTGAGCGGCTGCGCAGAGGTCAGCGCGCTGCACGACGGACCCGGCGACCCTGGTTTTGATTTGTCGCTCGCGGGCCAACATCGGAAGCGAACAGCTGAACCTGTCATGGGAAGCTCCCCTGATGGTGCGGTGTGTAAAGCATCAGTAGCGAAGGGGGGGGGGGGGAGGCGGACAAAGGCGGCCGGGCGTAGTGGTGGAGACCACACTACCACCGCCCTCACGGGTGCTGCCCGCTAACCGGCACTTTCCCCAACAGCCCGTGTTGGCATTACGGGGGGAGTTTTTGGGGAAGAGTGAGCCTGGGTTATGTCGATTGTGGGGCTAAGGTTCTTTGGGGGGAGCCTTCGGGGGAGTAGATGGCGGGTGGGGGGGGGGGGAGTAGTAGGAAGGAGGGAGGGGGGGGGGAAGTTGAGGAGGGGAGGACGGGGAAGAGGGGGTTGAGGGGAGGGGGCAGGAGGGTGGGGGGTATTTGTCGTGAAATTACCAATACACGATGAACACATCAGCATTCCCTACATTGCGAATGACCGGCGCTTCCCAGCACTTATCAACCAATACAACACGAAGGATTTTTTTTTTTAGTTTTGACTTAAATGTTTTTTTTTTGCTCTCAAACTAATCACAGAACGCCATGCATCAATTGTTTCAAAACACGTGTTTGTTTTTTTTTGTTTTTTTGTTTTATACAACGGATATAGGGGCTAAGTCTGGCTGCCTAGCCCCAAGTGTGCACCAACACCCCCCCGATAACCCCCTTTACGCCCGCCCCCCCCTTCCCCCACATGGACGTCGGTGACGTCACCGAAGTGCTCTATTGTTTCGTGGGAATTTCTTTTTTAAACGCTGGCACGTGATTGGTGGCGGCGGCGAAGGCAAAATGGCGACACAATGGTTGATTTGCTGCGCACGCGCGCACGTGGGCACATCCATCCGTTGTGACGTCACGTCCAAAAACAAACGCCACGCGTTTTTTTTACATTTCCTCACGAAGGCGCAAATTTTGTAACCAATCATCGTCGAGCAATAGAGGTGAGAGGTCGGTTCGGGGACAGCAGACAGGACACTCAGGGTAGGCACGTGACGATTCCCGTATCGCAAACCGAGATTAATTATTCGGTTCAATGCAATACTTTTTTTGTTTAAATCGTTTTCCACCGACTCGTTTTGTTCTGCCTCATTTTGATTGTTCGTCTCCGTTTGTTCTCTCTCGTTCACGTTGCCTCGATTGTTCCGTCTCTTTAGTTACGTCTCGCTTGTATTGTCTGCATCGTTTGTAGCTTTTTCATCCACTCTGTCTCCTGTGTATTGTCTCGTTTGTATTGTCTCCTTTGTTCTGCCTCATTTGTATTGTCTCGTTTGTATTGTCTCGTTTATATTGTCTCGTTTGTATTGTCTCGTTTGTATTGTCTCGTTTGTATTGTCTCGTTTGTATTGTCTCGTTTGTTCCGTCTCGTTTGTATTGTCTCGTTTGTATTGTCTCGTTTATATTGTCTCGTTTGTATTCTCGTTTGTATTGTCTCGTTTGTATTGTCTCGTTTGTATTGTCTCGTTTGTATTGTCTCGTTTATATTGTCTCGTTTGTATCGTCTCCTTTGTTCTGTCTCGTTTGTATTGTCTCGTTTGTTCTGTCTCGTTTGTATTGTCTCGTTTGTATTGTCTCCTTTGTTCTGTCTCGTTTGTATCGTCTCGTTTGTATCGTCTCCTTTGTTCTGTCTCGTTTGTATTGTCTCGTTTGTATTGTCTCGTTTGTATTGTCTCGTTTGTATTGTCTCGTTTGTATTGTCTTGTTTGTATTGTCTCGTTTTTATTGTCTCGTATGTATTGTCTCGTTTATATTGTCTCGTTTGTTCTGTCTCGTTTGTATTGTCTCGTTTGTATCGTCTCGTTTGTATTCTCGTTTGTATTGTCTCGTTTGTATCGTCTCGTTTGTATTGTCTCCTTTGTTCTGTCTCGTTTGTATCGTCTCGTTTGTATCGTCTCCTTTGTTCTGTCTCGTTTGTATTGTCTCGTTTATATTGTCTCGTTTGTATTGTCTCGTTTGTATTGTCTCGTTTGTATTGTCTTGTTTGTATTGTCTCGTTTTTATTGTCTCGTATGTATTGTCTCGTTTATATTGTCTCGTTTGTTCTGCCTCGTTTGTATTGTCTCCTTTGTTCTGCCTCGTTTGTATCGTCTCGTTTGTATTGTCTCGTTTGTATTGTCTCGTTTGTATTGTCTCGTTTGTATTGTCTCGTTTGTATTGTCTCGTTTTTATTGTCTCGTTCGCTCCGCTGGCCTAAATGCTTTCATATAAATCTACACACATAACAAATCACCTAATCACACAGATCGCCAGTAATCAAATCTCTTACGCGCACGATACAAGGCATGCATTCATTCATCGTGAGTGTAAATAATATATATTTTGAAATCGATTCATCGTCACATGCCTAGAATTTGCCTAATGCCCAGATCAAGTGGATCACTTGCAGTCCACTCACTATAAGAAACAAAATTACCATGAATGATAAACTTCAACTTAAAGTCTCTTTTGCATCAATTGGTGGCACTATTTTAACGCCCAACTTTCCCACGCCATGACCCTTAAATTTTGTACTTCATATCTTGCACATTATTCAGATCTTCACTGTTATTTTACTCCAATATATAAATAATTATAAATAATGAAAACAAAAAAAAATCGATTTGGGCGTTTCAGATCACGTGGCCACGCGAACTCGCTGACCTGCCTACACCGGACACCTATGAAAAAAAAAGAGCTTTATAGCCCCATCGGGTTCCTCCTCCACTCTAAATAAAGATTCTGATTTTAAAAAGGAAACGCGACTCGACGTCCGGTTTCCCAATTGGTCCCCCGGTGGGGTGACGCGGAGCGAGTTGATTGGTTCTTAAAAATCTAAATTGTTTCACTGGGGTCGTCTTAAAACCTCTGCCCATTAATCTTGGACCATCTCAAATTCTGAATCAGATTCAAGTTGCTAGCAACTTTCTCGAATTGGCCGACATCAAGCGAGGCGCGTGGCAATTAAGCGTGCGCCGCTCATTATGCGCTCCTGGTGCAGGGTTGCGGGTAATTACGTATACAATCAATCAAAGCGGCTGCATATTTTTCAAATTTAATTACCCACAATGCTCAACAGCAGCGGATAACGATGACGCGCGGTCTTCCCTTTGGGCTATTTTACAAGCAGGGCGCTAAATCGCGCGGAGCCCCCCATCGCTGGCCATGAGTGGCAGCGACGATGACGCGCACGCGACACGCGCCCGACTCTGCCGACGAAGGTCGGAGCCAAATGCGTGGCCACGTGCTGGCGAGAATTTGTCCTCGGTATAGTCCACCGCTGCTACTGCGTCTCTCGGTGGGGGTCGGTGCACACGGGAGGGGGCGGGGGATGGGGGGCCAGGGGGGGGCGGGGTTGGAACGGGTGGATCAGAGAGGGGGGTGGGGGGGAAGTTACAGACAGAGAGAGAGAGAGATAAAAGAGAGAGAGAGAGGAGGGATGCCAAGACGGAGAAAGAGTAAAGTGGACAGGACAGCTTCGCGTCAGATGACGACGGAGCAACGAGGGGACATTTTGAAATTTAAGCCTGGGGATGGGCGGGGGCGGGGCCGGGGTGGGGGGGGGGGTCTTAACCCGAAGCGATCAGTTGTGGCAACCATGTGGCCTGCAACTGCTTTGTCCGCGTCCGAGCGAGCAGTTGCGCAACGGGGCCCAGTTAAAGGGGAGCATAATGGATCGTGGCTACAAGCGGGGGAGCAACAGTCGCGCGATTCCTGCCGCCGCCGCCGCTGTCTCGGCACAGAAGGCGCGGCGGGAACTGCGCCCCCCCCCCCCCCCCCGCCCCCCCGCACGTCGCAGCCTCGACAGCGAACGACCGGGGGGGGGGGGGGGGAGGGGGGGGGGTTGCACAACTGCTCGCAACTCGTTGCAGAGAGACGTCCACACAACAGCGTACACAACAAACACACACAACAAGCTCTCGCGAGCGATTCGGTGGCATGCAACCGAGTCGCGCAACTTGATCGCTGCAGGCGCGGGCCCCCGGTGGTGTTGGAGAGAGAGCGAGAGAGAGGCGGGGAGAGATTTTTTTTTATCAGAGTGGGGGGGGGTGGTGGTGGTGGTGGGGGGCGGCGGGGCGGGTTGTGCGAGGGGGGGGGCCTAGAGGGGAGGGGGGGATGGGGGAGCAGGGGGAAGGGGCGCTGCTTTTGTGCTGCGTCTCGTGGCTTATCCGAAAATGCCACCGAAAGTGGAAGCGATGACCACGCCTAGCACCACGCAGCACACGATGATCATGATTTTCTTCTGCTCGGCCGGGGACGAGGAGCGGCGGCAGGAGGAAGAAGGAGATGCGGGACCCGCGGGCGTGGACGCGGGCCAGAGGTCAAGCGGAGACGGACGGTCAGGCACGGGACAGGCAGATGGACAGGAGAGGCAACAAGGGGACACACGCACAGGCGGGGAGGGGGAGCCAAGGAGGTGGACGGACAAACGTACAGGCGAGGGGGTGGACAGACGGGATGGACAGGGAGGCAAGGTGGTGGGACAGGCAGATCGCAAGGTTGATATAAAAATAGGACCATGGACAGACAGGAAGGGGGGTGGACAGCCGGGGGTGGGGGGGGGGTAGACGGACAGGGAGGTGGACAGACAGACAACAAGAATACAAACGTGCAGACAGGCAGGCAAACATATTGGCATGCAGGCAGGTAGGTCGAGAGGTAGGAGAGCGGGCACGTAGGCAGGCAGCACAAGCAGGTAGGTAGGCGGAGGTTCACACAGACAGCCAGACGGATGAAAGGACAGGCAAGCATGCAGGTAGACGGACAGACGGACAGACAGACACGCAGACAGACAGACAGACGCAGAGGTACACAGGCACGCAAGTGTTAGTATCTGAATGAAGCGCAGCGATCAATAGACACGGGCAACACGAGAAGTCAACTCTCACTTAGCGCGAGGCGTCGACACGGACCGGAGTCGAGCCCCCGACTGCAAGGGGCTGGGGTCTGGAGGGGCAGTCTGCAACTCACCTGGTGCGTGGGGTTCAACATGTGGACAGGTGTGTGTGTATATATATATGGACAGGTGTGTATATATGGACAGGTGTGTGTATATATATGGACAGATGTGTATATATGTAAATGTTTGAAAGAGGTCCAGCATACCCGCACAGAGAGCACAGACAGACAAAACAAAGACAAAGAGCCCCCGTATAGCCTCACCAGACTTTTAGGGCAAAGTGCTGTTAGCGAGCACCTATGAAGGCTGGCACGGTACAAGAAGGGGTGGGTGGCCAGCACCACGCCCGACCGCCTTTGTCTCCCCAGTGGTGATGTTCGCACATCACACCAGGTACAAACAGATACACACAAACACATGCACACAGACAGACAAAGACCCCCCATATAGCCTTTAACAGGACGTTAGGGCAAGTGCTGTTAGCGAGCACCTATGAAGGCCGGAACGGTACAAGAAGGGGTGGGTGGCCAGCACCACGCCCGACCGCCTTTGTCTCCCCAGTGGCGATGTTTACTACACACCGCACCAGGTACTCATTTGAGGCTGAGTCGACCTAGGGGAGACACCAGGACCGGTTCAGGTATTCGTCTCCGGTGTTAGTGGCCGTGAGCGGAAATCGAACTCGGGCCACCGGGCTCAAGGCGCAACGTGCTGACCCACGGCGCTTTCGCTCCTCACACGCACGCACAGAGACAAATACCCCCCAGGTAGCCTCGAGAGACTGATGGGGCAAGTGCAGTTCGCGAGTTCTGTTGGGCCGTGACGGCCGCGTTTATTCCGTAAGGTGCGAAGCGTGCGTACGGTACATACAGTCTATGTATATACGGTACATGCAGTCTATGTAAATACGGTACATGCAGTCTATGTATATACGGTACATGCAGTCTATGTATATACGGTACATGCAGTTTATGTAAATACGGTACATGCAGTCTATGTATATACGGTACATGCAGTCTATGTATATACGGTACATGCAGTCTATGTATATACGGTACATGCAGTCTATGTATATACGGTACATGCAGTCTATGTATATACGGTACATGCAGTCTATGTATATACGGTACATGCAGTCTATGTATATACGGTACATGCAGTCTATGTATATACGGTACATACAGTCTATGTATATACGGTACATACAGTCTATGTATATACGGTACATACAGTCTATGTATATACTGCAGCGGTGAGGAGTAAGGACGCGGGGAGGGGGGGGGGAAGGTGGGGGCGGCTCCGCGTTCTATAGACTTGAGCGTCACGTGGAGGTGAGTATGACGAGGAGGGGGCATGGGGATGGGGGGGCATGGGGGGCATGGGGGGGCATGGGGGGGTTGGATGGGGGGGGGTCCAAATTTGAGAAAACAAAAAAGCAAATCGGGTTTCGCTCGTTGTTATGGTCATCAGCAGTGCCTCGCCGACCTAACGTAGTGCCATAGTGCAGCTCTCTATCCCTTCGCGAAAATTATAGGACTATACATTCACTCGGTCGTTAAATAATAATTAATCACAGACAGGGCCTTTGTAGGGCCAGTCCTCGCGCGGTTTTCACAGTAGAACGCGTTCTCGCTAAGAACGCGGATCTTCCATTGGGGAACGCGCGCCGTTATAACGGGGAAGCAGCACTGTTATAACGCGAATTAAACCGGGTTCTCAAGCGCAGTGAGTTGATGGTCTCAGGCCGGTCACCAGTGACTCACGTACATACCCATAGACTTGCAGAGAGACCCATCGACTCACGCAGAGACCCATAGACTCAGGCAGAGACCCATAGACTCACACAGAAACCCACAGACTTACACAAACACAAGATCCCCCGTATAGCCTTAACAGACTGTTGGGGCAAGTCCTCTTAGCGAGGACTTATGAAGGCCGGCACGGCACACGAGGGGGTGGGTGGCCAGCACCACGCCCGGACGCCTTCTCCCCAGTGGCGATGTTTACACATCGCACCAGGTACTCATTTGAGGCTGATTCGACCTAGGGGTGGCCTAGGACCGGTGCAGATAATCGTCACTGGTGTTGGTGGCCGTGAGCGGGAAATTTTACTCTGGTGGCTGGGTTCATAGCGCAGTGGCTAACCCGCTACGCCACCGCTCCCCACTTACACAGACCCATAGACTCACACAGAGACCCATAGACTCATACAGAGTCCCATAGACTCACACAGAGACCTATTGACTTACATAGAGACCCATAGCCTCACAGAAAAACCCATAGACTCACAGAAAAACCCATAGACTCATACAGAGATACGTAGACTCACAGAACGACCCAGACTCACACAGAGACCCATAGACTCACACAAAGACCCAACGACTCACGTAGAGACCCATAGATTCACATAGAGACCCGTAGACTCACAGAGAGACCCGTAGACTCACAGAGAGACCCGTAGACTCACAGAAAGACCCACAGACCTATTGACTCCCACAGAGATCCGTAGACCCATAGACTCACAAAAGAACCATACACTCACATAAAGACGCATAGACTCACACATAGACCCATGGACTCACACAGAGACCCATGGACTCACACAAAGACCCATGGACTCACACAGAGACCCACAGACTCACACATAGACCCAACGACTCACGCAGAGACCCATAGATTCACATAGATACCCATAGACTCATATAGAGACCCATGGACTCACACAAAGGCCCAACGACTCACGTAGAGACCCATAGATTCACATAGAGACCCGTAGACTCACAGAGAGACCCATAGACTCACAGAGAGACCCGTAGACTCACAGAAAGACCCACAGACCTATTGACTCACACAGAGATCCGTAGACCCATAGACTCACAAAGACCCATACACTCACATAAAGATGCATAGACTCACACAGAGACCCATGGACTCACACAGAGACCCATGGACTCACACAAAGACCCATGGACTCACACAGAGACCCACAGACTCACACATAGACCCAACGACTCACGTAGAGACCCATAGATTCACATAGAGACCCGTAGACTCACAGAGAGACCCGTAGACTCACAGAGAGACCCGTAGACTCACAGAAAGACCCACAGACCTATTGACTCACACAGAGACCCGTAGACCCATAGACTCACAAAAGACCCATACACTCATATAAAGACGCATAGACTCACACAGAGACCCATGGACTCACACAGAGACCCATGGACTCACACAAAGACCCATGGACTCACACAGAGACCATAGACTAACACAGAGATCCATAGACTGACACAAACCGGGTTCTCAAGGGTAGCGAGTGGTTGGTCTCAGCCCGGTTCAACGGCGACTGCACAAAGACACCACATCCACCCTCCTACCCCATCCGGGCTCACATCCTTAATTTGGTTTTCCACTTAAGTTGGCAAAAAAGTAGCATCTGTCAGATTATCTATACAGTATATATACAGTATCTATACAGCATATACATCCTGTTTGATTGGCACGCGATACATGGCGATGTTAGCGATGCCTCCAAATTCGAAGATCGTGGGGGGGGCGGAGGTGGAGGGGTGGAGGTGGGGGGGCGGAGCTGGGGGGGTGGGGAGGGTGGAGGTGGGGGGAGGGAGGGTGGAGGTGGGGGGAGGGAGGGTGGAAGGGGGGGGGTAGGTGGGGGGAGGGAGGGGTAGGTGGGTGGATGGGGGTGGGGGGGCCAACCGCAGCGAATGCATTGAAGCTATCGAGGGGGCGACTAAAGTGCTTAAACGTTGAGACACAACGCTGGTAAAGTATTAAATAAAGACGCGTTCATCTCAGCCCTTTCATTTTATCCTTTTTAACCACCAGGTTTCAGCCCCACTGAACTATGAGCTCTCGTTCAGAGGCGACCTGGCCACGCGTGACGATAGCTCATTACCAAAGTGGCTGATATCATCATAATCATCATCACCACACGTGGGGGATTTCTAGCAGCAGCCAAATCGTCTTGCGGCGCGTTGATTCTAAGTGTTGGAAGGGGCCGGGACAGCAACACCGGAGGATGAACCCGGAGAACAATCCACGCCACCACCACACGGAGAGAGCGAGAGAGAGCACGCGGAACTCCAAATACACAACAACAGGCATCGCCAGGGTCCGGGATCGAACCCACGAAAACCTCCTGCGTATCAGGCGAGCTTGAGACGTAACGCATCTCAAGACAAGGGTGAGAGTAGGGGTGAGGAGTGGCGTGGATGCGGTGAGTGTAGGGTGAGGTGTGGTGATGATGGGGCGAGTGTAGGGGGTGAGAAGTGGTCAGGTGTGGTGAGGGCGGGGTGAGCGTAGTGGTGAGGAGTGGTAAGAGGATGGGGTGAGTGTAGGGGTGAGGAGTGGTGAGTGTAGGGGTGAGGAGTGATGAGTGTAGGGGTGAGGAGTAGTGAGTGTAGGGGTGAGGAGTGGTGAGAGGAGGGGGTGAGTGTAGCGGTGAGGAGCGGTGAGAGGACGGGGTGAGTGTAGGGGTGAGGAGTGGTGAGTGTAAGGGTGAGGAGTGGTGAGCGTAGGGGTGAGGAGCGGTGAGAGGACGGGGTGAGTGTCGGGGTGAGGAGTGGTGAGCGTACGGGTGAGGAGTGGTGAGCGTAGGGGTGAGGAGCGGTGAGTGTAGGGGTGAGGAGTGGTGAGTGTAGGGGTGAGGAGCGGTGAGCGTAGGGGTGAGGAGCGGTGAGAGGACGGGGTGAGTGTCGGGGTGAGGAGTGGTGAGCGTAGGGGTGAGGAGTGGTGAGCGTAGGGGTGAGGAGCGGTGAGTGTAGGGGTGAGGAGTGGTGAGTGTAGGGGTGAGGAGTGGTGAGTGTAGGGGTGAGGAGTGGTGAGTGTCGGGGTGAGGAGTGGTGAGTGTAGTGGTGAGGAGTGGTAAGAGGACGGGGTGAGTGTAGGGGTGATGAGTGGTGAGTGTAGGGGTGAGGAGCGGTGAGAGGACGGGGTGAGTGTCGGGGTGAGGACTGTAGGGACCGGGTCACGCGAAGGCGATCACGGCCCCCATCACCACGAGGGTGACGATGATCGCCCCAACTATCATCATCTTCTGTCGAGACCCCAACCCCAGCGAGGAGGGTAGGAGGAGTAGCGGGGGTCGCCGTGAGGGTGAGGGGGTGACGTGGAGGGAGAGGAGGGGGGGGAACGGGGAGGGGGGTAGGGAGCCGGGAATAAACAAAAACCGCATACGTGTCAGACAAATCATAAAGAAAGCAAAGGAATAAAAAACACAATGACAAAGATACCCCGTATAGTCTTAACAGACCGTTGAGGCAAGTGCCGTTAGCGAGTGGCACCTATGAAGGTTGGCACGGCGCACGAGAGGAGTGGTGTGGCCAAACCCCACGCCCGACCGCCTTTGTCTCCCCACTGCCGATGCTCTCACAAGTATTCACGATGGCCGAGTCGACGTAGGGGAGGCCCAGGACCGGCTCACATATTCGCCACTGTAATTGGGTCGTAGAGCGCAGCGCGCTACCCAGCACACAAAGGCAAAGGCTCGCCGTATAGCCTCAACAGACGTTTGGGGGCAAGTGCTGTTAGCGCTTTAGCTGCTATACATTTCCAAATGCTCCACTTCGTTGAGCTATCATATGTGGCAAAGTCCTTTTCTAAAAATAGCTACGTAGCTCAGTGGGCCTTTGCTGGTAAAATAAAAAAAAATGTTTAGCTTTGGTTTAGGCAGTTTAGTTTCCACCACGCGTTCGTCCTCGGCTGTATCCGTGCATTTATTTGCTGCTCATAATGTATATGCATTGCGACGTTAACAGCAGTGCCCGCGGCAGGCACCGGAGTCGAGAGTTTCTCTCCACGCTGAGTAGCCGCTGTCGCGTCAGCTGCGTTGATCGCTCGCTCACAACGAGAAACCTACCGACTCGACAATTGTCCAAGACAACAAAGGTAAAGATCCCCCCTCGCCCGTATAGCCTTAACAGACTTTTGGGGGCAAGTGCCGTGAGCGAGTAGCACGACGGGGGGATGGGGTGGCCAGCACCACGCCCGGCCGCCTTTGTCTCCCCAGCGGCGAGGTTTACCACACACCGCACCAGGTACCGGTTTGGGGCTGAGTCGACCTAGGGGAGGCCCAATGATCCACAAACAATAACAAACACACACACGGGAACGTATGGGAGGGAGGGGGGAGTAGAAAGGCTGGAGGAGGTGGTGCTGGTGGGGGACGATTAATTGGGGAGGAGACGGGAGAATGAGTGAGGGAGGGAGTGGATTTGAGGAGAGGATTAGGGAGAGATGGGGAAGGAAATTAGGGGGAGGAGGGCAAGGGAGGGAGAAGAGAGAGGAGAGGGAGGGATGGAGTGAGGGGGGGAGGTAGAAGAGAGAGGTATGGAGTGAGGGGAGGGAGGGAGAAGAGGCAGGAGAGGGAGGGATGGAGTGAGGGGGGGGGAGAAGAGAGAGGAGAGGGAGGGATGGAGTGAGGAGAGGAAGCAGAGCGAGGGATGGAGTGAGGGGAGGGAGAGAGTGAGGAGAGGAATGATAGGGAAGGAGTGAGGGGGTGGCATTGAGGGAGAGTGAAGAGGCACGAGAGGGAGGGACTGAAGTCGGAATGGATTACGGGGAACCGCGCTCTATGGAGGCTATGAACCATGATGCCGCACAGAGGAGGAGGAGGGAGGGACAGAGCGAGGGGCGGGGCGGGTGACAGGGTGGGGGTCGCGCAGGGGGGCGGGGGGCTCCTCCTGGTGCCTCGTCCAGGGACTCACCCGGCGCGCCTTGCTCTGGTATTTGACGGCCTTCTTGGTGTCAGACACGGCCCTCTCCACGTAGTCCACCGAGTGCTCCACGTTGTACTCTATGCGGTCAATCATCTCTCCCTGAGAGTCGGGGGTGGGCGGGTGGGTGGGGGGACATTGGGGAGATGTTAACAGAAGCATCGGTGAGACGTCACAGTGCGACTCGGATGACAGTCTTGTACGCTCGGGGCTGGATGCCGTTCCCTTACCCAAGGCCGAATAGAACGTTCAGACGCCTTTGGAGAGCGACGCGTTGACGCCAACAGCCGCCACAGCGCTCGTGCCAGGGTAGGTGCGCTTTGCAGCCGTCGCGTCAAATTGTGGAAGGCTCTCGCTGATGGCAGGAGGAGGTCACGGGATAGAACCAGCAGGTGCCGTGGGTTGTACTGCTGTGCCAGGCTAGGTGCAGGAGAAGGTCACGGGATAGAACCAGCAGGTGTCATGGGTTGTGCTGCTGCTGTGCCAGGCTAGGTACAGGAGGAGGTCACGGGACAGACCCAGCAGGTGCCGTGGGTTGTACTGCTGTGCCAGGCTAGGTGCAGGAGAAGGTCACGGGATAGAACCAGCAGGTGCCGTGGGTTGTGCTGCTGCTGTGCCAGGCTAGGTACAGGAGGAGGTCACAGGACAGACCCAGCAGGTGCCATGGGTTCACTGACTCAGATGACTGGCTGATGCACCAGCTGTACCCCCTACTGTGCCAACTTGCTGCGCTTTAGCCATATCGGCGCTACGCTCGTTGTTGTGAGTGTCGCTCTTCTGCCTTCCGTTGTTGTTGGAGGGCGACTGCCTCCAACTGCCCAGTAGCAGCGTCCTTCACGAGCCTCCTCCACAGAGGCCGATCTTGACACCGCTGGTACCAGCCCATGCCGCACCCATTTAGCCCCTTCTATCCGGCCAAATAGAAGGTGCTTGGGCATGCGGTGGATGGACATGCAGGCTACATGACCCGGCCAAAAGAAGCCTCGCCTGCCAGAGGAGCTCACTGATGATAATCTGTCCAGATCTTTGAAGGATTTGCGAGTTAACCCAGGATGGATGGTAGGCAGGCCAGCCTGAAAGTTTCAAACTGGCGCAGATGACCCATGAGAGGAGTCCACGTTTCTCAAGCGTAGAGAAGGGAGGGCATGACTGTGGCCGAGAAGGTAGCTTCCACACAGCGTTATGCAGCTGACGAAAAATAATAATGCCACTCGGCTGATTCAGAGTGAGACCTCTGCTGCCAAACCGAAGGTGGGTATAGACACACGACACAGGTACTGAAACTTCTCCACTCTCTCCACAACGTTCCCATCACTCATGGCGAGTTGAGGGGGTGAAGTATTGGACGATACAATATACGCAGGGAGGTGCTCAGTTTTGGTGGGCCTGATGTTAAGTGGCACGCTCCAGGTTCAGCAGCAGAAGCTCCAACTCCTTCTCAGAGTGAGCAGCAACAACCAGATCATCAGCGTACGTAACATGGTAGACCAGTAGGGTGCCATCCCTTGACCACACCCGAGCATTGATCAGCCACCCATTGTGTTTGTACCAGATATAACTACTAGTCCAGCCACGGAAGGCTTCTAAAACTACGTGGTCGAAGATGATGTTAAATGTTAAGATGATATGAAATGCTAAGATGACACATTCACACACACACACACAGACACATTCAGACACACACTTAGGTAGAAAGACAGAGATCCACCGAATAGCCTTAACAGACTGTTGGGGCAAGTGCTGCTAGCGAGCACCTATGAAGGTCGGCACGACGCACGAGGGGGTGGGTGGCCAGCACCACGCCCGGCCGCCTTTGTCTCCCCAGTGGAGATTGTTACACACCGCACCAGGTCCTCATTTGAGGTTGAGTCGACCTAGTCGAGGCCCAGTACGGATTCAGATAATATTGTGACTGCCGTTGGCCGTGAGCGAGAAACGACCTCTGGGTTCTTAGCACAGCGCACTAACCACTGCACTACCACTCCCCCGCAGACACACAGACACACACATAAAAACACTCAAACTAAAACTCACACACAGACACGCTCACACACACAGACAGACACACACAGACACACTAATACACAAAAACAAAGAACCCCCTTATAACCTTAACAGACTGTTGGGGCAAGTGCTGTCAGCGAGCACCTATGAAAGCCAGAACGGCACACGAGGGGGTGGGTGGCCAGCACTACGCCTGGCCGCCTTTGTCTCCCCAGTGGCGATGTTTACATATCGCACCAGGTACTCATTTCAGGCTGAGTCGACCTAGGGGAGGCCCAGGACCCGTTCAAATAATCGTCACTGGTGTTGGCCGTGAGCGGGAATCGAACTTGGGTTGCCGGGGTTTGTAGCGCAGCGCGCCAACCGCTATGCCACCACACACAGACAGACAGACACAGACACACAAATACACACACACAGACAGACACACACAGACACACTAATACACACATACACACAGACAGACACACACAGACACACACACACAGACACACACAGACACACTAATACACACATACACACAGACAGACACAGACACACTAATACACACACACAGACAGACACAGACACACAAATACACACACACAGACAGACACACACAGACACACTAATACACACATACACACAGACACACACAGACACACTAATACACACACACAGACAGACACACTAATACACACATACACACAGACAGACACAGACACACTAATATACACACACACACAGACAGACACACACAGACATACTAATATACACACACACAGACAGACACACACAGACACATTAATATACACACACACACAGACAGACACACACAGACACACTAATACACACATACACACAGACAGACACACACAGACACACTAATACACACATGCACACAGACACACACAGACACACACAGACACACAGACACACTAATACTCACACACAGAAACAGACACACTAATACACACACACACAGACAGACACACACAGACACACTAATACACACATACACACAGACAGACACAGACACACTAATACACACACACAGACAGACACACACAGACACACTAATACACACATACACACAGACACACACAGACACACTAATACACAGACACACACACTAATACACCCATACACACAGACATACACACACAGACACACTAATACACACATACACACACTAATACACACAGACACACTAATACACACAGACACACTAACACACACACAGACACACTAATACACACAGACACACTAATACACACAGACAGACACACACAGACACACTAATACACACACACACAGACACACTAATACACACACACACACACAGACACACACAGACACACTAATACACACAGACAGACACACACAGACACACTAATACACACACAGACAGACACACACAGACACAATAATACAAACACACACAGACACACTAATACAAACACACACAGACAGACACACACAGACACACTAATACACACTCACACACAGACAGACACACACAGACACACTAATACACACACAGACTCACACAGAGACAGTCACACACAGACACACTAATACACACACACAAACAGACACACACAGACACACTAATACACACAGACAGACATACACAGACACACTAATACACACAGACAGACACACACAGACACACTAATACACACACACACAGACACACTAATACACCCACACACACAGACACACACAGACACACTAATACACACACACAGACACACACAGACACACTAACACACACAGACAGACTAATACACACAGACACACTAATACACACAGACAGACACACACAGACACACTAATACACACAGACAGACAGACACAGACATACTAATACACACACACAGACTCACACACACACAGACACACACAGACACACTAATACACACACACACACTAATACACACACACACAGACAGGCACACACAGACACACCAATACACGCACACACAGACAGACACACACAGACACACTAATACACACACACACTCAGACAGACACACACAGACACACTAACACACACACAGACACACACAGACACACTGACACACACAGACACACAGACACACACAGATACACACAGACACACACACAGACCACACTGAGACTCAAACACACACAGACAGACACACACAGACACACTAATACACACAGACACACACAGACACACTAATACAACAGACACACACACAGACACACTAATACAACAGACACACACAGACACACTAATACACACACACACAGACACACACACAGGGATGTACCTGGCTCTCGACCAGCATGGCCATGTCCAGGAACATGTCGTGCAGCTCGCGGATGCTCGTCTCCAGCTTGATGATGTCGTTGTGCCGGGACTCGATCTCGCTCAGAGCCTGCTTGTCGATCTTGGAGTCGAGCACGATCTAGGCGGCGTGGAGGGAGGGGGGGGGGCAGGGTCAAGAGGTCAGATCGCACCTTAGAACCCCCCACACCAACTTCTGAAGCCCCCCCCCCCGCATCCCCTAGAACTTTCTTCGCATGTCTCTGTGTGTCTGTATTTGTGTTTCTCTCGGACTATGTTTCTGTGTCTCTGTATCTATGTCTGTATCTGTACGCCTGTGCGTTTGTGTGTTTCTGTGTGTCTGTGTGTCTGTATCACTGTATCTGTGTGTATCTATGTCTGTATCTATGCCTTTATCTGTACGTGTGTCTGTGCGTTTGTGTGCTTCTGTTTCTGTGTGTCTGTATATGTGTGTCTCTGTGTCTATATCTGCGTGTTTGTATCTCTCTATCTCCATCTCTGTGTGTCTGTGTCTCTGTATCTGTGTGTATCTACGTCTGTATCTGTATGAGAAAGTGGGTCTGCATCTGTGTCTATGTTTCTGTGTGTCTGTGTCTGTATCTATGTGTGTTTCTATCTCTCTATCTGCATCTGTGTGTCTGTTTCTCTGTATCTGTGTGTATCCACGTCTGTATCTGTATGAGAAAGTGTGTCTGCATCTGTGTCTATGTTTCTGTGTGTCTGTATCTGTGTGTGTTTGTCTCTCTATGTCTGCATCTCTGTGTGTCTGTGTCTCTATATCTGTGTGTATCTACGTCTGTATCTGTATGAGAAAGTGTGTCTGCATCTGTGTCTATGTTTCTGTTTGTCTGTGTCTGTATCTATGTGTGCCCGTGTCTCTGCCTCTGCATCTCCACGTGTCTGTGTCTCTGTATCCGCGTGCGTCTGTGTTTATTTTCCCCTTTTCACAGGCGCTTGCAAAACACCACTCGGCCCCAACATTCTGTTGGAGGCGACATTGTGCGAGTCTGGCATTCACCCCGGACGTGAAGATTGCAGGGTTGCCACTCTCCAGCATGTCCTCCAGCTCCTCATTAGTGGTCGTCTTCCCGGCTGAACACAGCAGCAACATCAGCAGCATCATCAGCATCATATCTCACCATCACAGCCATCAGCATCATATATCTCACCATCACGGTCATCATCAGCATCATACATCTCACCATCACGGTCATCATCAGCATCATACATCTCATCATCACGGTCATCATCAGCATCATACATCTCACCATCACGGTCATCATCAGCATCATACATCTCACCATCACGGTCATCATCAGCATCATACATCTCACCATCACGGTCATCATCAGCATCATACATCTCATCATCACGGTCATCATCAGCATCATACATCTCATCATCACGGTCATCATCAGCATCACACATCTCACCATCACGATCATCATCAGCATCATACATCTCACCATCACGGTCATCATCAGCATCATACATCTCATCATCACGGTCATCATCAGCATCATACATCTCACCATCACGATCATCATCAGCATCATACATCTCATCATCACGGTCATCATCAGCATCATACATCTCATCATCACGGTCATCATCAGCATCATACATCTCACCATCACGGCCATCATCATCAGCATCGTACCATCAGCATCATCAGCATTGTTATCGCGAAACAACTTAATCACGACAAATACCATCAGCAGCAGCAGCATCATCATCAGTACCATCATCACGTGACTCCGCGTGCCACACGTGACCCCGACAAAGACCCCGATAGTTTATTTTCCCGCGCGGGTGGCCCTAGGGGGCGGGGGTGGAGGTGGGAGGGGGCTGGGGGGGAGTGGGGAGAGGGGAGGTGGGGGGGGGGCTAAGAGGTGGGAGTATCCACGTGATGGTGAATTAAACGACTATTTTAAAACCATTTTTATTTTATTGCACCACGTAAGGCCCACTGAGATGTGTAGCTCTTTTTCAGAAGCGACCTGGCCACAAATGATAGCTCAACGAACGTGGCTTGTCATCACCGTGTAGACATTTAAAGCAGCAAAACGCTCAAAACGCGTGACGTTCATTCCGAATGTGAGAGGGAAAACCCGGAGGACGCGGATCAAGAAAAAATCCACGCGACCACGTGGAGAGAGGCACCGCAAACTCCAAATATACAGCAGGCGTCAGGGTCGGGATTGTACCCACGACCTCCTGTATACCAGGCGAGGGAGTTAACATCTCGGGGACGAGGGGGGTTGAGAGGCGAGGGTGGAGGAGTGGAGGGGAGGGGCCATGAGTGGAAGGTGGTGGGGGGCTAAGAGTGGGGGTGGGAGGGGGATCAAAGATGAAGGAAGAGGGAGCTGCGTGGGAGGCGAGGCCACCGTGGATGAGTGGAGCGTGCGGGGGGGGGGGCTAGTGGGTGGCCGTGGTGAAGTGGAGGAGACTGAGTGGGGGTGTGGGGGGGGGTTGGCGGGGGCTGACAGGGCCCGCGTGGCTGCCCGCTAATTAAGGCCATGAATCACGTGGACAATCACTCACGGGCCCTCGGTGCTGACGTCAGCGAGCCGGTCAGCGCGCGACCTTTTCGCGCGCGTGCCTCTCACGCCCCCTCTCTCTCTCTCTCTCATCCGCACGCGCGACACACGCGGGCCACTCCACTGCTGGATTACGACGGCACCCCGCACCCCCCTCTCTCCCTCCCGACACCTCACAATGGCGGGGTCGGGAGGTGTGAGGGGGTAACCGCCCTCCCCCTGCCCCCCCCCCGCATACCCGAAGATGTAGTGCTTCTCTGTTGTTGTGTCGCGTAGCAGTGGGAATACATTGCGTTTTAAAATGTATTATTATCACTTTGGGGGGGGGCACTTTTTTTTAATAAGCTTGAAATTTTGGGACACCCCCAAACCCTTACCTCCCACGCTATGTGTTAGTCATGGGGGGGGGGGGAGGGTTGACCATACTTCACCACGCTGGTCATTGCAGGTTGGTAAATAGTTGGTAAATAGAGCTGGTGGGGGGGGGGCAGAAAGTGTGGGGGGGGGAGGGAGGGGTGCGCGAATATCTGAACCGGTTCTGGGCCTCCCCCAGGTCGACTCGGCCTTAAGTGAGTCCTGTACCTGGTGCGGCGTGCATACAATAGCAGTTCAACATCGGCACAGGGGAGACAAAGGCGGCCGGGCGTGGTTTCTGGCCACACCGTCCCCCGTCGTGTGCCGTGGTGGCCTTCATTCGGTGCGCCACTCGCGACACAGCGCTTGCCCCAACGAGGGTCCGTTGAAGGCTACCCGGGGGTGATCTTTGTCTTTGAAGGTCATGTCTGCGTGAGTTCATTTGACCTTGGCCGACCTCCACCCCTGAGCGAGCCACTTGGAGGTGACGAGAGGACGCCACTCACGCGGGACACGTGGGGGGGAGGGGGAGGGGAGGAAGGGGTTCAAGAGTTGGGGAGGGTGACGCTGAAAACGTAAAGTATGAAATAAAGTGTGCATTGATCCACCGCTGGATGGTGCGAGGGAGGGAGGGAAACCGGGAGTGATGATGGAGCGAGTGATGGAAGGAGTGATGGAGTGAGCGAGGGAGGCATGCGGTGATGGAGAGGACAAACGGAGAACGGCGTGAAAGAGGAAGTGAAGGAGTGAGAGATGGAGTGAGTGACGAAGGAGGGAGCAATGGTAGGGAAGGCAGCAGTGATGGAGGGAGGCGAACGAGTGATTGAATGACGGAGGCAGTGACGGAGAGGGTACGGAGGCGTTCACGTTGGGGAGGCATTCATCCAGCAGTGGACTGATCATGGAGCGTGCGCGCGGAGTTCTCGTACTGATCTCGAGCTGCCTCTGGATGCGCCCCTTGCACCGCTCGCGGTAGTCCGACTGTGTCGAGTTGTACTCCGTCATCACCTCCACGAACTTGCGCGACAGGGTTGAATGCTACGCGGGGAGGTGGGGGGTCAGTCGTGAAGTCAGCAAGTAGAGAAGCAGAGGTGGCAGGTGGAGAGTCAGACGGGACGGACAGACGGAGAGATAGGGACAATAGAAGGACAGGGACGGGCAGATGGGTTGACGCTTGACGGGCCGGATGAACGGACGAACAGGCGGAAAATTGCCATCAACAGCAACATTGCCATCGACCGAATTGCCACCAACAATATTGCTTTGAACAATATCGCTATCAACAAAATAGCTTTCAACGCCAAAATTGCAATCAACAATATTGCTATCAACAAAATTGATATCAACAAAATAGTTATCAACAACATTGCTACGCAAAAAAATTGCTATCAACGAAACTGCTGTCAGCAAAAACTGCTATCAATAATATTGATATCAACAAAACTGCTCTCAATGACATCGCTATCAACAAAATTGCTATCGACAAAGCTGATATCAACAAAACTGCTCTCATCAACTAATGAAGTCCGCGCCGCGTGGGAGGATCTGTGAGCCTTTCTGCGTATGCCCCCCCCCCCATCCCCGCCCCTTCATCCCCCCTCCTCCGCTCCCAGAACCCCCTTAAAGGGTCAGGAGCTTTAGGGCGGGGTTCCCCTTTGTAGCCGCGCTGTTTGCCGGGGGTCCTGTGCGGACGAGATAAGGGAAGTCGCCAATAGCGCTCGGCGGACATCACTCCCACAGTATTAACGACTGCCCCCATCCCCACCCACTCACAGAGACAAAGATCCCCCGTGTAGCGTTGAACAGGCCGTAGGGGCAAGTGCTGTTAGCGAGCCCGATGATTGGTAAAGAACGTGGATTTAACTGCGTCAGTTACAACCACGTAATTATGTATTCCGTATGTTTGTTAGCTTTTAAAATGTGTGTTGTGTGTCTGGAGCGGTGGTGTAGCGGGTAGCGCTACGCTGCGCTTCGAACTCGGCGGCCCGAGTCCGATTCCCTGCTCACGGCCAACACCAGTGACAAATTATCTGAACCGGTCCTGGGCCTCCCCTAGGTCGACCCAGCCTCAAATGGGTATCTGGTGCGTGTGTGTAAACATCGCTACTGGGGATAACAAATGCGGCCGGGCGTGGTGCTGGCCACCCACCCCCTCGTGTGCCACCGTGCCGGCCTTCACTGGGTGCTCGCTAGCAGCACTTGCCCCAACAGTCTGGGACCTTTGTATCGACGACGTATCTCTTGCGCGTGTCTCTGTCTCTAATGCGTGTCCATGTGGCTCTACCAACGAGGTAGACAATACAGACATCGACACGAACCCCCTCCTTCCACGTTCCTCCCCACATCCCAGATAAAAAAATAATTCAGTGTGGGTCGCTGGGGCGTGCAGGGACACTCGCGGGGGGGGCGGAGGAGATAGGGTGGGGGCAGCGGGGGGGGGAGCGGGGGGGGCATCGGGGGGGGGGGGGCGAAGGGGCACGGGTGGGATCTGGGGGGTAGCGAGGTATGGGGGGTGAGAACAGCAGGGGATTCGTGGGGGATGGAGTGGGGATAGTGGCGGAGTAATGGGGGGCGGGGGGGGATTGGGATTTGGGGGGGGCGCAGTGGAGGAAAGGGGGTGGTCTGTAGGGGATGGAGTGGGGGCAGCGGGGGCTAATGATGTCGCCATTCCTACCAACACTTTCAGTCACTACCACGACCACGAATGCCACTCGTAAATATGTCCCGCCGCTCCTTGTGCAATGCTACAACGAAGACGCCCCCCACCCCCTCCCCCCGCACCTGCGTCTTGCGTATCCTCAGGTCGGCCGAGGAGCGATTCTCCGTCTCCTCCTTCTCGATGTCTTGCTCGATGGCTGTGGGAGAGCAGTGGTCACGGCGCCGGGTGGTTAGACAGGGTGGTGAGTGTGTGTGTGTGGTGAGTGTGTGTGTGCTTGGTGTGTGTGTGGTGTGTGTGTGTGTGTGGTGAGTGTGTGTGTGTGGTGAGTGTGTGTGTGGTGAGTGTGTGTGTGGTGAGTGTGTGTGTGACGAGTGTGTGTGTGTGGTTGGTGTGTGTGTGGTGAGTGTGTGTGTGTGGTGAGTGTGTGAGTGTGGTGAGTGTGTGTGTGTGGTTGGTGTGTGTGTGGTGAGTGTGTGTGTGTGACGAGTGTGTGTGTGACGAGTGTGTGTGTGACGAGTGTGTGTGTGGTGAATGTGTGTGTGTGGTGAGTGTGTGTGTGTGTGTGACGAGTGTGTGTGTGTGTGGTGAGTGTGTGTGTGGTTGGTGTGTGGTGAGTGTGTGTGTGTGGTGAGTGTGTGTGGTGAGTGTGTGTGTGCTTGGTGTGTGTGTGGTAAGTGTGTGTGTGTGGTGAGTGTGTGTGGTGAGTGTGTGTGTGGTGAGTGTGTGTGTGACGAGTGTGTGTGTGGTTGGTGTGTGTGTGGTGAGTGTGTGTGGTTGTTGTGTGTGTGTGGTGAGTGTGTGTGTGTGTGATGAGTGTGTGGTGAGTGTGTGTGTGTGGCTAGTGTGTGTGTGCGTGGGTATTGCGTGTGCGATTAGTGAGTGTGGTTAGTGAGTGTGATTCACCTGTGTGTATGTATTTAGAGAGACTTAGACTCAGAGAGAGAGAGAGAGACACCCAGACCCTGGACTCGAACTCAGGCTCGCAACGAAACTGACTCCGACACGGCCAAGGGAACACGGCAAACCAAAACAGCACGCAAAGAAACATTTTTTTTCCGAATTCGGTTTAAACAAAAAAAAGAACCCCCTCCCGCAAATATGTTCAGAGCCGCAATGCACCGTGGTGGTGACTACGTGACAGCGGTGAGCCCTTCATACGGAACGTGACGGAAGCTGGCCCTTCAAGAGCCGCGCTCGGCCTCAGGTTACCTACACCCCCCCGCCCCCCCCCCCCACCTGGCCATAGCCATCACGAACCACGACGACACGAACCTTTTAACTTGGAGCGCACGCGGTTGGCTGTCTTCTTGATGTCTGCCATCAGGTCTTCCAGTTCCTGCTTGGTCTCTGTGCAAACGGCAGCAGTGCAGCGAAGTTCGTGAGTGGACCTCCACACGCTTGAGCGGGGGTGGGAGGAGGGGGGGGGGTTCGTTTGACCATACTTTACCACGCTTGTTTGGTGCACGCTGCTGCTGTTCTTTATTTGATTAGTTGGTTTTATTTTTTTATTTATGGCTTTTGTCCTTTTTTGGTGACATCAAGATCACTCCTGCGAATGAGACTTCTCCGTCCCGGTCTCTTGAGTTATTCACCTGGCTAAGCGAAGTCAAATTGGACACTCACCTACCCACTCATGTGACTTACTCACCCACTCATTAGTTGACTCACCCACCCACTCACTCACCCACTCACTCCTGTGAATGAGACTTCTCCGTCCCGGTCTCTTGAGTTACTCAACTGGTTCAACAAAATCAACTTGAACCTCGAACGCGGGGGTTTAGCACAGGCGTGAACACATAGCAGTATAGTACCGTACAACACATGGCCATTCCCCGCTTTGATGCGCATTGAGGCACTGGTGCTCATCTCCCATTGACAGCCCTGAGACGGCGGTGAAAATTCCACATTCCTATGGCGCGGGCGAGTCTATCCGGAAGTAAACAACCCCCACAACACAAAGCGGCACTCGTTTCGTCGACCTCCTCCCACAGTCACGATGGCCTGAGTCGACATCACCCCCGCCACCCACCCCAAACAGGATGTGTTATGAAGAAGGTTATGGTTCAAAACGTCGTCTGATGTATATTGCATTATTTCAAGGCCACACCGCGTTACTGACGCACGCCTACAGATGTTTGGTTTCGTTCCGTTAATTAATTTGCTCGATGGGGTCCTTGGTTTTTGGCGTTCATCGGCAAGGCACGCAAACAAACCCCGCAGCTGGACGGAGCCACAGTGGGGCAGGTGAAAGGTGAGAACACGATGGGAAGTCCAAGCTAAACGATGCTGTTATTCACCAGGTAACGCAGCAAGTAAAACCCCACTGAGCTTAGAGCACGCGAAAATGATGATGATAGCAGCTCATCATCGCGGTGGCTGACATCATCATCATTACCATTCTAATCATCACCATCGTCATCACGTGGGGGATATATAGCAGCAGCCAAATGATCCTAAATGTGTTGTTGTTTCTTGTGGTGGGGGTTGGGGGGAGGGCAAACCCGGAGGCGGAACCCGGAGAACAATCCATGCCACCACCACACCGGGAGGGAGGGAGAGAAAACACGCGGAACTCCAAATACACAACAACAGGCATCGCCAGGGTCCGGGATCGAACCCACGGAAACCTCATGCGTATCAGGCGAGCTTGAGACGTAACCAATCTCAAAGCATCGGCCCAAAGTCGCGCGAGCAGGGGACCAATTTGGGAATTCTCTCCCATCACCACCATCACCACCATCACCACCATCACCACCACCATCACCACCATCACCACCATCAATAAATAAAGACAAAGATCCCCCCGTGTAGCCTGTAACAGACTGTTGGGGCAGGTGCTGTTAGCAAGCACCTATGAAGGCCGACACGGCACACGAGGGGGTGGGTGGCCAGCACCACGCCCGACCGCCTTTGTCTCCCTAGTGGCGATGTTAACACACCGCACCAGGTATTCATTTGAGGTTGAGTCGACCTAGGGGAGGCCCAGGACCGGTTCAGATAATCGTCACTGCTGGTGTTGGTCGTGAGCGGAAATCGAACGCGGGTCGCCGGGTTCGTAGCGCAGCGTAGCGCTAACCGCTACACCACCACTCCCCACCACCAACACCAATCACCAGCATCACTACCACCACCATCATAACCATCACCACCATCATCACCACCACCACCACCATCATCATCATCTCCACCATCATCACCACCATCACCACCACCACCACCATCACCACCACCACCACCATCATCACCACCACCACCATCATCATCATCACCACCACCACCATCATCACCACCACCACCATCATCATCATCACCACCATCACCATCATCACCATCACCATCACCACCATCACCACCATCATCACCACCACCATCCCCACCATCATCACCACCATCACCATCATCACCATCGTCTCATCGACCTCCCGCTCCGCTTAAATTCCCCCAAACTCTCGTAACGCAAAAATGCTCGCTCGCTTAAAAAAGAATAATAATAATCAATCATCGTGCGACGACTCCTGTCTTGTGACAACGTTGACGGCGCTGATTGTCAGTGCCCCCCCTGGTCACGTTGCTGCCCGCGCCGTGCTCAAGCAAATTGTTTTGTAGACCCCTAAACCCCTCCCGCCACCACTACCACCACATACACCACCCCCAAAGGATGTTTGCCTCGCCCCAATCGCAGAGTTAATCACGGGCTCCGTCTCTCTCTCTCCCCCTCTCCCCGGAGCTGCTATAGACTTCGTGTCTTCATCAAATCCACATTCCTCTGCCGGCTGTCCAGCACTGCGCTAATTTCCGCCGAGGAAATTGGAAATCGCCATCTCCCCTACCCCTGACGCGAGCCTGTCGTCCCGAGGGCACGGGGAGGGGAGGTGGGCTCTCGGGTATGGGGGGGGGGGTATGGCCCATTCGGCTCCACGCGACACGATCTCCGGGCGCGGCAACTGAAGTCGTCGACATATCTTGGACACGCCCTCCCACACACCGCGCCCGCCGCCTCTGGAGCGGTGGGCACGCCCGGGGGTCTCACCGGGCACGGCGACAGGCGCCGTCGTGGCCGTTTCAGTAACGGTGCAAAGTGCATTCATACCCACCCCTACCCCTACCCACCACCACCACCACCCCTACCCCTACCCACCCCTACGACCTACCCACCACCACCATCATCACCCACCACCACCACCCCTACCCACCCCTACCCCTACCCACCACCATCACCCCTACCCACCACCACCCCTACCCCTACCCACCACCACTACCCCTACCCACCACCACCACCCCTACCCACCACCACCACCCCTACCCACCACCCCTACCCCTACCCACCACCCCTACCCACCACCACTACCCACCACCACCACCACCCCTACCCACCACCACCACCACCCCTACCCACCACCACCCCTACCCACCACCACCACCCCAACCCACCACCACCACCACCACCACCCCTACTCACCACCACCACCACCCCTACCCACCACCACCACCCCTACCCCTACCTACCACCACCACCCCTACCCCTACCTACCACCACCACCCCTACCCCTACCCACCACCACCCCTACCCACCACCACCCCTACCCACCATCACCCCTACCCCTACCCACCACCACCACCCCTACCCCTACCCACCCCTACCCACCAACACCACCACCACCCCTACCCACCACCACCACCCCTACCCCTACCCACCACCACCACCACCACCCCTAGCCACCACCACCACCACCCCTACCCCTACCCACTACCCACCACCACCACCATCACCCCTACCCACCACCACCACCACCCCTACCCACCACCATCCCTACCCCTACCCACCACCACCACCCCTACCCACCACCACCACCACCACCCCTACCCATCACCACCACCACCCCTACCCACCACCACCACCACCCCTACCCACCACCACCCCTACCCCTACCCACCACCACCACCCCTACCCACCACCACCACCACCCCTACCCACCACCACCACCCCTACCCACCACCACCACCACCCCTACCCACCACCACCACCACCCCTACCCACCACCACCCCCACCCACCACCACCCCTACCCACCACCACCCCTACCCACCACCACCCCTACCCACCACCCCTACCCACCACCACCCCCCACCACCCCCACCCCCACCCACCGCACCCCGTCAGGCCGCCTTTGTCTCCCCACCGCTGGTGTTTACAGTGCTGCCCCAGGAAACTGATTCAAGGCCGAGGCGACGTAGGCGAGGTCCGGGTCCCGTTCGGATATTCGTCACCGACACTGGTCGAACTCCCGCCGACCACCGCGGCCACCGCTCTTCACGAACACATTGCACGAGACAAAGATCCCCCGTATAGCCTGCACAGGCTGTTAGCGAGCACCTGTGAAGGCCGGCACGGCACACGAGCGGGTGGGAGGCCAGCACCACGCCCGGCCGCCTTTGTCTCCCCAGTGGCGATGTTTTACACACTGCAGCGCGCTACCTGCTATACTACCGCAACACATTATACACTCACACACTCGCGCACTCGCCCACGTACACTCGCACACTCATATACACTCAGACACTCACACTCTCACTCGCACACTCAGACACTCACTTACACATTCACTTTCACACTCAGACACTCAGTTACACTCTCACACTCAGACACTCACTTACACAGTCTCTCGCACACTCAGACACTCACACAGTCACTCGCACACTCACTCGCACACTCACTCGCGCACTCACTCACACACTCACTCACACTCTCAGACACGGGAGGGATTACTAATGAACGGGCACGTGGTTAGTGCTGTGCGCTGGAGCTGTGATTACAACTCGAGGAGCGAACTGAATCCACGGGGATTTGGCACAGGGGGTCTCTCAACAGCGGCAAGGCGAGCACTGTCACCAATGATCTCTGCTACGTTGAAGGGCAATTGCCCGAAACGTCGCCTATTATTTATTTGTTCATCCCTGGGGCATTGCCTTTGACGAATGTGTCTAGTTTTTTTTATTGTCACTCGCAATACCATCATCATCAGCAGCATGATCAGCAGCAGCATCATCAACAGTGGTAGAGGCATTATGACCATCATCATCATCAGCAGCAGCATAATCAGCAGTAGCATCATCAACAGTGGTAGAGGCATTATGACCATCATTATCAGCAGCAGCATGATCAGCAGTAGCATCATCAACAGTGGTAGAGTCATTATGACCATCATTATCAGCAGCAGCATGATCAGCAGTAGCATCATCAACAGTGGTAGAGTCATTATGACCATCATTATCAGCAGCAGCATGATCAGCAGTAGCATCATCAACAGTGGTAGAGTCATTATGACCATCATCATCATCAGCAGCAGT